CCCAGCCCGTCCGGGACCGGCTCTCCCACAGCGTGGCCCGGTTCTGTCAGGACTCCTCCGCGCAGGCCCGGGACTTTGGCGCGGAGGTGGAGACGCAGCTCCGGGAGCTGAGCCAGGCTGGGGTCCCGGCGCTGCCCTCTCTGCGCGCCCCGGGCTCCCTGCAGGAGGACTTCGCCAGCCAGCTGAGCGCCCTGCTGGAGGACATCAGGCAGAACCTCAGCTGAGCCGAACGTCGGAGTCTCTGGGCCAGCAGAGCAGCCAGAGAGACAAGCCAGGGCAGCTCAGACAGACTCATTTCAGCTGTGGCTCAAAGCATTTAGCTCTGCTGGACACACAGAGGTAACTGTTGGCCCTCTGTTTAAACAGAGCCCGCTGTGCAGCTCTTCGCGGGCCTGAGCTGTTTCTCCAGGCCCCCGGAGTATCCAGAGGGTCTGATTCCTCCCTGCTCTCGGCGTCAAGGGCTCCTGCTGTCGGACAGGCGGAGGACGTCCCTGTCCCACTGTCGCTGAGCCCTGCGCTGTTTGTACACAGACAACGTCACATTGTGTGTTTCCTGGTGTTCTTTGTATGTACTGGTGAACGATACCGAAGACATTTGGTTTTGCAGAAAAATAAAATGTATATATATTTGCAGAAAAACCGAAAAGTCTCTGAAGTGTTTATTTAGTAGAATACTGGTGGGGTTCCTCAGTCCCAGCGCCTTTGAATGATATTTAATGGAATGTACTTTCTTTACAATGAGGGAAAATAATTCTTTTAACTGTTTTGGAGAAAATACCACCTTACCTGTCGACACCTGGGGTTTGGTTCATAATTAAAGACCGTCCTGAGGAAAGACAGACCCCCGTCTATTGCTGACCTGGCACAAACACTCACACCGCCGCCCTTGTGGTGAGAACAGGCTACTGCCAGGTGATGCTCCAGGAATCCCTGCCTCCACCCAGACAGACGGACCCTGGACAGGTCTGACCCCACTGACCTCACAGCAGGACCCCTCCTGCAGCCAGATCCAGCCAAACCGTCAGTCCTCTCCAGCTGGAGTGAGAGAAAACCTGGCTAAGACATTCAGGTAGGTAGCTGCAGCAGCACACCTGAACAGGGCTCCACAGCCAAAGCTTTGTGTTTCTTTCTTCTCTTTTCAGCATGGAGTAAACCTTTACTTGTTCCTCTTTAAGACACGGAGAAGATGTGATACATCTGGATTTGCACAGTGGGACTCATTGTGAAAACAAGGCACAAATGTGTCTTAACACCATTTCACAATACTTCAGGTCAGCCCAGTGAGTGCAGTAGTAATGACAACATATCGATGATGACTATTTAAAACCCCAAAATAATTTAAAGCTCACAGCCCTGTGCAATAACACACATCCAATACAACAGCAATGTTTTATTTGGTGATTTAAAAACACAGTATTAAACATATTGAAAAGGGAAACACAGCAGCTCACACATCCACAATAATGGGCTTTAAAGCAACCACTTCAAATATTCCTTTCCAATTTTTCTATTTAAATAGTGAGGCTTTGTAATATAAAATACCTTCACCCACAAATCTCTCTTTATTGATGGATTACAAGTGAAATGAAGAGTCTAACTGAATCTGAACTGATATGGTATTACTAATTTGGTACTTTGTGCTACAAGGAGAGCAGTCTGGGTTCAAACCCCTGTAACTTTATCTGCAGTCCACTGGGGTCCAGCTATGCTGAGTCTGTAACTCTTATTGCTGTGATTATGCTATTATGCTGTAGTGTAAGTGTAGTGGTGGAAATCTGACCACACAGCTGCTGGAAGTGACTTGTCCTCTACAGCTGTGGAATTGTGCTGTGAATTGATGAAGTCAACCCTGGTTTGACCTTCAGTGACTGGCCTCTCCAAAAGCTCTGTAACGCTACCTGCAGCCACAAGAGCACTTTCTATAGATCTAAGGAGGGTTGTCATGTGTCTGTTTTAATGCCCAACTCTGTTCTACTGTGATTACATTTGAATCTGGGTGTGACAGTCCTTTTTTCTATGCGCAGTGTTAATTGAACTGGCTGTTCACCCAGGACCGGCAGGGTGAGTCTTTTTTAGGACGGTGAGAGTCAGGTGTTCCTGTTTTCTTTTCCAGTTTCTGGAAATGGTTCAGGAACTGTAGTGTAGAACTGTGGATAAATTAACATGGGTGTCAGCTCACGACTCCAACTTGAGCAAACCAAAGCTCTCTCTCAACTAGCCAACCAGGCAATAGCACACTTTGTGTGATTTCTGCTACTTGAATCCATTTACTTTAAATGCTGTAGTGTATTTTCCAGCTGTGCCTGGATGCAGCAGGGGGAATCATCCTGCAGCTGTGCAATTTCAGTCTTTCAAAGCTGTGGAATTGCGCACAAGAGTCTATGCGGTTAGCCCTGGTTTGACCTCAATGGCTAGTCTCTCCAAAAGCCCTCTGTGTAACACAGGCTGGACGGCTTCCCCGGCTGGTACGTCCTCTCACTGAACGACATGTTTAAACCCATATCTCTGCCCCGTGGTGGAAACCAGCTGCTGGATGGATGCAGTCTTTGATAAGCATGACAGGTGATGGACCAGCCCATTCTCTGGTTATATGACCCAATAAACAGGACTGTGTGCCATCTGAGCAATGGGCTGTGGGTGACTGTAGATCTAGTTTTTTTTCAAGCCTTGTTCACATTAGTGTTAGAGCTATGGAAATGCAAAGTGACAAATGTGATCTTAAAGTTAGAGCATGTCTTGGTATATAACTAAGTAGCACATTGTATGTAAAAAGGATCTGTTCACCTGAAAGGGGGCTTCTACAGGAAGAGAGGCCTTCCCAAGCTAGGAAAGTCTCCACATTCACACATGCATTTGAAATAACGCAGGATAAGAGTCATACGCTGAGAACAATATACAGATATCTGATCTTGTGGAGCATCAGTTTATAAAGGAATTGTCAGTCTCATACAATCATCTCCCATCTGTAAATTCATCTATAGATGTTCTTGAAGTCCTTCTGACAGGGAATAATGGCTTATTGAAAATCTTTATCTGAAGTGACTTGCAGAGACCAGGGGAGGGTGATTTGGCACAGAGAGCAGGACCTTGGTTTGAAGCGTCCTCAGGATGGAGCGCGGGAGGGGGCTCAATGCCTGCTCGCTGTGAGAGAGTGAATCCGTGGCACAGCCTGAGGATTTGAACCAGCAACCCCCTTGTCTCGCAAGTCGCTGCTTTTCCACAGCCACCGGCCTGGCCGCCATCAGCCGTCGCCCTTGTGGGTGCGCTGGTGCGTCTTCAGGTTGCCCATCTGGCTGAAGCCCTTCCCGCAGTCGGGGCAGGGGTAGGGCGTCTCCCCCGTGTGGACCAGCTGGTGGCGCTTCAGCTTCCCCGAGTCCTTGAAGCCCCTCCCGCAGTGGGCGCAGACGTAGGGCGCCTCGCCCGTGTGCGTGCGCTGGTGCGTCTTCAGGTTGCCCGACTGGCTGAAGCTGCGGCCGCACTCCCCGCAGACGTAGGGCGCCTCCCCCGTGTGGGTGCGCAGGTGGGCCTTCAGGTTGCCCGACTGGTTGAAGCTCTTGCCGCAGTGCGGGCAGGCGAACGGGCTCTGCCCCGAGTGCACCTGCTGGTGCTTCTTCAGGTTCTGCACCTGGTTGAAGCTGCGGCCGCACTGGGCGCAGCTGTAGGGGCTCTCGCCCGTGTGGATGCGCTGGTGCTTCTTCAGGTTGCCCAGCAGGCTGAAGCTGCGGCCGCACTGGCCGCAGGCGAAGGGCGTCTCCCCGCTGTGGCTCCTGCCGTGCTGCTTCAGCGACTCCAGGTAGCGGAAGCTCTTGGGGCACTGCGCGCAGCGGTAGGGCCGCTCGCCCGTGTGGATGCGCCCGTGGATCTTCAGGTTCCCCAGCTGGCTGAAGCCCTTGCCGCAGTCCGCGCAGCGGTACGGCGTCTCCCCGGAGTGGGTCCGCCGGTGCGTCTCCAGCTTCTCCGAGTCCCGGAACGATTTCCCGCACTGGCCGCAGCTGTGCGGCCCCGCCCCCAGTCCTGCCGTTTCCCCCGGCCCCGCCCCTTGCCCAGCTCCTGGCCCCGCCCCTGGTCTTACTCCTGGCCCCGCCCTTGACTCCGCCCCCGGCCCCGCCCACACCGTGTGGCCCCGCTCGTGCCGCCTCAGGCTGTCCAGCCGGTCGAAGCTCTGCCAGCACACGCCGCAGTGGTGCGAGACCGCCACCGCGGGGGCGCCCAGGGGGGCTCGGGGAGGCGGCGGCGGCGGCGGCCCTCGCGCTTGCGAGGACGCGTTCTTCATGGCAGAGGAGCGCAGGGCCTTCAGGTACTCCTCCCTGTGCTTGTTCTTCACGTGGCCCTGCAGGTACTGCTCCCCGGTGAAGGAGACCTCGCAGTGCGGACAGGGGAAGGACACTTCCCGGCATCAGACAGGTCGGGAGAGAGAGAGAGAGAGAGAGGTGGGTCACTGAGGGTGAGCACATCCTAAACTACCCGACCCAACCCGCAAGGAACTGTGCTGCCTCTTGATCACAACTTGATGTGCAGGGAGAGGGCAACGGGTACCTCCTGGAAACTCCTTACACTGCTGGATGGGCACTTACAGCTGCCCCGTCGGTGCCTACCAACCTACCTGTAGGATCTAGACAGACGTTTGTAAACCTTTAGAAAATCAGATGTAAAAGCTTCAGCGCATTATTGTTTTGCAATAATGCTAACACTGCTTTCACTGCTAACTTTTTTTTTTTGGCACACCAAGATCGGTACTTACAAGTCCTGCCTGCAGCCGGGATGGTCTTGGCAGCGAGGGGGCTGCGCTGCCAGTCAGGTCCATCCTCGATGATCTGGACCGAGCCTAGTTCCGAGATGCTGTTGGCGATGCTGTCGAGCTCTGGGTGAAGGGGTTCCTCTTTCACAGGGATGGGTCCACCTGGAGGGGTGTTCTGCTCCTGCAGACTTGGGCCATTCTCTGCTACACCTGCAGACGGGAGCTTGGTTTCCCCTTCTGCCGTGATGGAACATTCCAATTCCGTGGCCTCCTCTTTGATGTGAATGGTTTCCATCCTCAGCACCTCAGCAGGAGCATCTGGGCATTCTGCAACACCTGCACAACACTGACCAGTACAGCACAGACTGAGCCACCTGTACACCACAGACCAGTACAGCACAAACTGAGCCACCTGTGCAGCACAGACTGAGCCACCTGCACAACTGACCAGTCCAGCACAGACTCAGACACCTTACAACACTGAGCCACCTGTACAGCACAGACTGAGCCACCTGCACAACACTGACCAGTACAGCACAGACTGAGCCACCAGCACAACTGACCAGTACAAGCCAGGTTCAGGCAGCTGCACAACACTGACCAGTACAGTGCAAAATGAGCCACCTTCACCAGTATACATGCTTTTGAAACGACCTTCTGCAATATAACGTGCACTCTAACTCCTGGGGTTATAGCAGTTTTATCTTGCTGAAATAAACGCATGTATCAATATTTCGGCAACAGACATGAGCAAGCATCTTACCCGAGTACAGTTAATATATCCCTGAAGTGATGCGATGGACTATGGGCTTCAGAAGAACACACGGGTTCAGAAGTAACCCTTACGTTTCTAAGTTCCGTCAAGAATTTAATTATTAATCTTTTGATACTGCACCGTTATTCTTCCACATTTTACCGTCACCGCTCCTGGGGAACATTTTGCAATAACTAACCATAGCAGTTGTTTTCGATAATGCATTTTATCAGCGATAAACGCTCATTGTAAACCAAGCCCTTTCAGGGAAGATATAGGTTTCGTTCCTACTGCACGTCAGAGCTGCAAGATAAATACTTTTCCACAGATCTTCGTATCTGTGTTTTGGCTAAGCGTCTTGTGTTACTGTTTCCAGATGCTCGGAGTAGTGTTTGCTTCACGTTGCTCTCACGCTATTTGTTTTACATGTGTGCAAGTTAGGGTGCATGTAAACGATTACTGTAACTGTACACTACATTCCCAACATTTACGGTCTTGGTTTCCGGCGGAACTCCTGTTACCTTCAGCTCCTCAACCTCCTACATGCACGCAGGTTGAACCACGCATTAGCTCCATACTGGCTCAAAAAATGAAAAACAACCCCACAAACTATGAGGTAGAAGATATACAGTACCCGTGGCACGGGCGAGCTATTTACGAGCTAATTTTCTATAGGTATTTTTTTTCCTTGACAAAACAGATGTGCAGGCTTACGACTGCCCCCAGACTCGTTAGAGCCAATCAGAACCCAGACCTTCGTCACGTGTACTAGGTCCCGTGAAGACCGTGAGAGACGCTGAGCCAATAGCGTCACGACAAGCCAGCGATCGCCTCCTGCGATTGGCCGTCTGCCACACCTCCCCGAGCTATCCGACCAATCGGAGCCGCGCTTGATTAAAGGCGTTGCGGAGACGGAGGAGGTTGTGTGAGAGAGCGCTGTGGCTGGTCGGTGTGAAGTTGCTGTGGAGATGCTGCCTTCAATCAAGACTGAATCGCATTCGACAGCAGCATTGACACCTGGCCGGATCTCGGAAGATAAGCAACGTTGATCCTGATCCGGGTCGGATCCGGGGGCTGGCGTGTTCACAGGTTTTCATTCCAGTTCGGCTTTTAATCTAAACGAGCCCATTACTGTTTAAACTGGACTGATTGAACTACGTCAATGTCTGGAACTTGACCTGAAAACCTGCAGATAAGACTGACCCTCCAGGACCAGGGCTGGTCACCCGTTGTCCTGTCAATACTTGAGGGTTGAGGCTGCAAGTATTAGACCAGCAGAGGGCGCTCTATCCTGTGCATTGCAGTAATTCAGTGCACCAGCAGTGTTTGTGAGAGCTGGGGTTTTAACCCTGGTGTCCTGGCTAAATTCCACACTGGGCTTGGATGGCCTGATGTTGAGGGAGGCTAAAGATCCCCTTTGATGCAAATGGGCAGTGAGTTTCCCTCTCCTCCTAAAACACTTACACGTGTGTAGCTATAACTCCTAATCCCGCTGCAGGTCTCAAAAGAGTTAGATCCGAGTCCAGCTGAAGTAACCAGTCCAGAAACCGAAAGGGCACACAGTTAAACGCGGTTAAAAACCTCCCCATCAGGTGAAGTTTTCTCTTTTGCTTTAATATGAACAGGTTCATAGGTCAATACGGCTGAAATGGCAACTTTTCTGATGAAAGTATGATATCGGAGACAAAATTTAATGTTTCCGCCCACTCAACCGCACAGAAAATATTAGTATTAAATGCAAAAGCTCCCGACACGAGCAGAGAAACAAAATTGCAAACATCGTTATCCCAGAATCCAGTAATTCGGTGCCTGAACTTCCCAGCTCGTTGTACCTGATCATGTGATTTCTCCCCCAAAATAAGGATCTGTATCTTGGCAACGAAAGCAGCACTAAAAATTCAGACCGGTTTGGGTCTCCAGCGTCGTTGTAGGGGGGCATCACACCCCCGGGAAACTAAGGCGCTATATCTCGCGAATGAAAGCGGCACAAACGCTATTTTCAACAGCACAAACGATGAAACCCACCGCATTCGTTAGTGCTGTTTGTGGGAGGTCAACTTCACGGGGCTAGGAGACTTCGTAGGGGAAAAGTGTCTGGTATTAGTTTTCGCTAGTCTGTAGTAAGTAAAAGACATCTTTACTCATTCTGGCTTGGGTCTCTGTCCTTTCTTTCAAAACCCAGAGAAGAGAAATTGACCTTTTTATCGTATAAAGATAAAAAAAACAAATGCCCCAAAATGTATTTAGCATTCTTTAAAAAGCTAGACCTAGAAAATCTTAGCTCACTTCACCAGCCCTGCAGGATCGGGGCTGGACAGCTCGGGTCAACTACGACAATGGTGTAGTAGGAGAGAGGAGGTTGGTCACCATTTGTGTGCCGTGCTAGAAGATAATCGTATCCTTGGTATCCATATCACTGTACCGCATACTGGGGCTACATCGGAGTGGAGAACACTGGTCGCTTTTTAAAAAATCAACATGCAATAAGACCTCCACTTCCACTAGGGGCGGCTGTAGAAGAGATGACGAGCTACAGTGTGCCTCTTCTTTGAAACTCCAGCATGTTGCGCTGGGGGCAGCGAGGAAAAATGTCCAGTTTTATCCTGTGATGGAGGTAACGGTGGCGTGTGGGTCTGAGTTTGAGATATTTGGACTTTGGGTTAAAAACGGGCTGTCGAGCAACCGGTGGGTATTGGATGGAAGATGACCTATGTAACTGCGAGTGCGTGGCGTTAAACCGTTGTTCGTGTATTTCGGCAGGAGGGTGATCGGCAAACCGTGGGCTCGTCGCGCAGCCTGCCAGCACGCCTGAGTTTTTTAAAAAAAGTTTCAGGGTTAACCGAGTCGCGCCAGCCGGGCATGTTGGCAATCATTTCGTTTCCCTGGCGTGCGGAGAAGCTCTTCGGCAGCCGTGTTGGCTGGGGGGGAGAGACGGAGCTTTTGTCTGCACGCCGGAAACCCGATGGTCTTTACTCAGTAACACATGAGCTGGCTGCCGCGGTGCCAGTGCTTTGTGTGCAACTCGCTCGGCTCGGCTGGAATTGGTCTTCGTCGCGGGAATAAGCTGTTTTAAAGGCCGAGTTAGGACGTGAGCTTAAACGGTAGTTCAGTTTTTGTCGGTTTGAGTAAGCATGCGATAAGGGCCCGTCCGTCTCTGAAAGCGCCGTTTCTGCCCCCGGCAGCCGGACGGGCTGACCCTTTGACCCGAAGATGGACACCGGGGGCCCCGAGGCGACCCTGGAGGACGAGCTGGCCCTGGCCGTGCAGCGCGCCTTGAGGTCCGCCGTCGACGCCCTGGTGACCGACATCTCCCGCCTCGTGCGCCGCCGGCTGTCCGAGCGCGAGCGGGAGATCGAGCGGCTGCGGGAGCAGCTGGACGCCTCGGCCGGCCGGCCCAAGGCCCCCGAGGGGGCGGCCCTGCGGAGGGAGCCCGGGGCGGCCTCTCCCCGCGGCGCGGCCGGCCGGCCCACGGGAGACCCGATGCAGGAAATCCACAAGAAGTTCCAGTGCCCGCTGGTCCTGGTGCCCGAGGAGGTGGCCCGCGACCACGAGGAGTTGTTCTTCCGCCTGAGCGACAGCGTGAGCAGCGACACCTCCTGCATCTGCGGGCTGGAGAGGATGGACGCCGTGGTGGAGGGTGAGGAGTGTGGTGTTCGTGTCCTGCTGGGTTGAAACCGATGCAGTCGGAATAATAAAAGATAATCCTGGTGCTCAAAGATTAAGGAGGGCATTCTTCTGTTTTTTTTTTTATATATACGGTTTCTTTAAAGAAGGAGAGAGAAAGGGGACATGGTCTTTTTTTTTTGAAAAGGTGTATTTGTAGTCTTTTTAAAACGAGTTTTGTCAAAGGCAAAAAGGAGATCAGTCAAAGGCTTCCCACTTGGACGTTTCAGTGTAAAAGACGCTGCAAGTAGAGGTTCCATGCTGAAAGGAGACGCAACGTTTCTGGAGCCTTCTTCAGCGTGGAATAAACCTTTACTTGTTCCTTTGCAGCCTGTGCAGGCTGTACAGCCCCCTGCTGTGTTTGAGAGATACTGCACCTGCTGTATTAATGGCCGGGTGGCTCCGGTGTGATGTCCCTGTTTCCCAAGGCGAGATCTCCAGCTGTCGGGGGTCGGCGTGATCTGGAATTTCCCGCCGGGGGCGGCTCTTCTGACACCCAGCTGGTTGGCGGCGTGCTGTTTTGTGACCAAAGGCTGGGTTGTCTCGCCTCTCTGCTGGTGTCGAGTTGTTCAGAATGTCTCTAGCGGTAGCCCAGGCTGCATCTCGTTTGGCTCACGGTGGAGCTTGGTGTGATGTCACCAGCATCCCGCCAGCTTGAAGGGGCACACGTGCCAGGTCCTCACCCCCCCCATGCGCACGCTATAAAAGATCCCCTTGACGTAATCCCACCGAAAAAGGGGAAGAAAAACTTCCTGTCAGTGCTGGTTCTTTCGGTGGAATCTGTCAGTTGCTCAGAGTTTGTTGAGAGAAATTCCGGCTTTGTATCTAAAGCACAAGCTTTTCTAATCCGTACAGCTGTCCTGCCATTATTGACAGTTCGCTCTTTGAAAGGCCTTTAAACCCCTGCGATGGCAGAATTTTAATGCCAGATCAGTCAGTTTCATTTTATTGCATATCCACGCGTATAGCAGTTTTGGGCTCCCCAGCTGTCTGCCTTTGAACCGATTTCTGGCTTTCTCAGGTCAAGGCATTTGCGAGAGGCAAAATGAGCACTCTCCTGTGGCATAAGGAAGCTTCAGGTTTTTAATTCTGCGCTGTGCCTGGCGTTTCCAGTGCTTCTGTAAGGCCTCTGTTAAGAGCTGGGTTTGGTCTCCATGCCAGGGAAGGGAAATTCTCTCTTACACAGAGCTCGGAGAACAGCGAGTTAGTTCCTGGTTTGCGGGGAGGGGCTGTTGTGCACTGGCAGGTTAAAGGAACCTGGTCTGGACAAGAGGCAGTTTGAGCTAAGTGCATGAGAAACGTGCTGAAGGTCATCCCAGGGGACTTTTGCACTCGGTAGTGAAACGAGGATATGGGATCCAATTCAGGAGCTAAAAGGGAATTCATATAGGACTGAGAATAGGGAACCCTTCGTCGAGCAATGCCAAGGGGATCAAGCAGGCGTCTCAACCAGGTGGCCAGGGTTCTGATTCTGGGCTCCTTCAAGAAGCTGTAGATCCATTGACCTGCTGCCCTGCTGAGTGAATAGTCAAGTGGGCTCCCCTATTTTTGTAGCCCTTCCTGTTCTGCGAGGCTGAATCTTATGAGTCTCTCATGTTTCATCTTTTTTGGGGACGGGAAGGAATGGCAGTGTAAGGTTGTTGGAAATGATGTAGTTCAGGTGGGGAGCTGCGTCAGCATGCGTAGGCTGCAAAGGAACAAGTAATAGGTTTATTCCAGGCTGAAGAGAGAAAACGCAACGTTTCGACTGTGGAGGCTTCTTCAGGTGTGAGAGAGACAGGTCGGACAGCGAAGGTTAAAGAGCACAGGCGAACAGAAGCTGTTCCTGAGTGGCCTCTCTGCCTCTCCCCCTCTCCCATCTTCTGTTCTCCTGTGCTGTTTAATCTTTGCTGTCTGCCCTGTCTTTCTCACATCTGAAGAAGGCTTCACAGCCAAAACGTTGTGTTTTCCGTCTTCTCTTTTCAGCACGGAATAAACCTATTGCTTGTCCTATTGAAAAGTATGATGCCTACACTAAGCTCTTGTGTCGGACTTGGGGACAGGGGTAGGAGGGCAATGTGACTTCATTGCTACGTGAACATGAATGAGACTTCATGGGGGTTTTCTGTCCTTCTCGCTGTACCCCAGGCGCAGAAAAGGCGAGGCCTGATAATCTTCCCGACCGTGCCCAGATGGAGATCTCGCCAGCGCTGCAGGACGCCCCTGGGGTGTCTGGGGTGTCCTCGCCGAGGGGTGAGGCCAGTCACGCGGCCGTTCGCCGGGAGCCTGCACCGCTGGGAGCAGGCCGTCGCCAGGCTAAGGGGGCTCGGGCCGGTTCCGATCCGGCCCGCGTCAAGCAGGAGGATTCGGAGCTGGCCGTGACGCTCTTCCCCCAGGGCGCGGACGGCGCCGGGCAAGACGGGCTCAAGCTGGAGAGTCTGGACGTGGACATCACCGAGCTCCATTCGGTCAGCTTCGTCAGGGTGCTCCCCCAGCCGGGCGCCGTGCAGGTCAAAGAGGAGGAGCCCGCGGGGCCCGGCCAGGAGAAGGGCGACAGCAGGCCCGCGGGGGGGGCGCAGCACCCGCCCCCAGGCGGCGGCGGCGGGCAGGAAGGGGCCGC